TATAAACTGTCAGAAATGTGCTGCTTTGCTCATCTTCCTTTTTATCAATTTCCCGAATGGACGAAAGGTCTATTGACCATTTTGTGGTTCTCTTTGTTTGTCGCGCAAACATAATCGCGTTCCGTTGCTTTTTCAACCTCACTAACTCTGTCGACCCAAATATTCTTCTATTTATTGTATAAAATGATCGCACACCCCAGGATGCCTGACGACTTTCGTTGTGAAATACACCATTGTTATTGCTATTAAATAACCGAGCAGATGAGGTATCCTGGAAGAGAAATTGAACCGACTAACTGTTGAATCCGCTTGAGCTCAAGTCCAATATGCGTATCAATTTACACCAACACCGTGATCTAGGATGAACGGGCTTAAACTTTGCAATGACGGTCACTCCTCATCTAGAATCACCAGAATTTCTTACGCGGTATCGACGATCAGTCCCGAACTGGAACGAATATATTCAACCCGATAACGAAGAATGATCCTAAGGAACCGAAACCGATGAGAGTGGGCAATGAAAACACGATTACAGACGGTAGATCATGACGGTTTACGTGGTATCCAAAACAGATTATAATAAGTGGCACAAAACAGGAAAAAACCTACTTGAATGTATACCCACTGAAGCAGAACACAGAATACAATCGAACGAAATGTACACCGGACTCAACCGAGCCGAATGTCGAAAATGTCATGCTGGAACGTCTAAACAAACAAGTAGTTACAGACGGCAAATAGTTGAAATGACGGGAAACAAACAGTAATATATAATTAGAATGAAAATCGTTTCGTTTTAACTACGGTGCAACCGATGACATAACACCAATCCCAATTCGAAGACTTGGAGCGTAATAGACTGCAGGAGGTTTATTTCTGGTAAGACGAGCCAAGTTTCATATGGTGATAGCGCGGTTAGTGTACCGCAAACAAAACCCTTTTTGGGTGTCAAACCAACCCAAAAAGGCGGCCCAGCTTAAACATCCAGTGCACAGGTAAAAGACACTAGGGCACAGGTTATTCGTGGATGGGGATTTCCAAACAGCCTGCTTCGCGATTCAGTTCAGTTCAGCTCGCTCAGGAAGTTATTTTGCCCGGGCCAAACGTGCTTCCAGATAGTTGTATTGCTGGCTGATCTTGTGGCTTCAAACACTGCGAGTCAATAGGTTTATCTGAAAGGCGGAATGGCAGGTGCAGTATCATGTCCTTCATACTGCATCAGGAAATAAAGAAGCCAGGCAATTATCCAAGGCCCTCTGAAAGGCTATGACGAACAACTTACAACCTCCTTAGGCAAACCGTTTCATTATGGAACTACGCGGCTTGTAAAAAGAGATTGGCACGCTTTACCAGCCTTAAAAGACTACGTTGCAGGATTAAACCGTCCTCAATTGTCAGTCAGAGGGATTAATTCGAATATGTAATCAAAATTTAGTCCAGAGAGACCGTTCATAATCACAGAAGCATCTGTGATGTCCCCCTGATTATTCTTCTTACCAGGTCAAACAGATTAATGTCCTTGAGATTCTGTTCGTAACTCTTGCGTCTGTGCCCCACCAAACAACAATGATGTATATTTTTCAACGAAAGTCGTGAGGTATGCTGGGATGCACGATCATTTTGTACAATAAATAGCGGAACATTTGGGTCGACAGTTAATGGGGTTGAAAAAACAACGGAACGCGATTTGTTTGCCGCGAGAAACAAAGATAAACACAAAACGGTCAGTGGACAAATTTGTTCATTCGGGAAATTTATAAAACGGAAGGTGAGCAATGTAGCACATTTCTGACAGGTTATAGTTCTGTGGATAAGGAGGTATAAAGTTAAAAAGTCACAGAGGCGGAAATGCAAAAAATGAAAACGTGTACACATGTTGATGGGTTTGTGTTATCTAGAACTGAGCTCAATCAGGGAAGAGAAATGAAAACTGTGCATACAGCACGCGGTAAAGATGTCAAAAGTTTATCGTGTGGAGGTGAAAAGACAAAAGCTGGATGGGTGGAGTTGTTTTGAAGGTTGTTTTGTGTATGTGCTGGAAGATTTGTGTTTAAATAATGGTTAGATAAAGTCCTGCTGGTACGACTTGCTTCTGAGTGAAATCACTGTTTGGGTGAGAGTGACCGGGTCAAGACTTGGAGGGGAGGTTTTAGGTCTCGCCAGGTCTTCTGTCATCGATAAAAAGCACGAGGCGTTTGGGTCGCTGCGTGCGTGCCTGCAACTCAACATTGAGTTTGCTTAGTGAAAAGGGTCCAATCGATGGAAGATTTCATAGAGTTCAGCTTTTGGTTCTTCGGTTCACTTCAGTTTTCTTCCATGGTGAGTATCGTACCGATCCGACGGGAGTCGCCGTTAGTCTTACAGCAGAAGATCTCTGGAATAGAAGCCGGAAATGCGAAACAGTCTAGGTTTGGTTCCTAGCTGATGAGTGGGGGAGGGTAGGAGAGGAAGCATGCATGTTATCGTGCAATCTACTACTAGAACTTCAGAACCGTCGCGAAAGTGGACTGATAAATAGAACCAAGAGAACAGTTTCGACAAATTACCATTAGAGAGACCTAGCAATGAAAATACAAACGGCAATGCTGACATTCGTAAAGCGTCCAGTACAGGCACCTAAATGAAAAAATGTATGGGAGGCAAAGGTGAAAATAGAAAAGCAAGAGAGGACCTGGCTGAAGTTTAGAGACATTCAGCAGGAAAGATACGAAGAGGAAAAACGATCGAGTGGTTAAGGATATGCGAAGTCAGGAGAAGAAACAAGGTTATACCAAGGACATTTCAGTCCAAGTAGCACCGACACTATTTGAGGGGAAATGCTCAAACGGGGTTCCTAAACCTTAATTGCATTAAAAATAGTGATTATCATTTGGCTTTGAAGCGTCGAAACAGATTCGTCGAGGAACAGATGTATAGGAAACAAAGGTGAAATCGAGAACGGCTGTAACATCCGGTATTTCCTTTCGGTCACCCATCTAATTTCTAATCGGTGCTGATGTTGCTTCACTTCGGCGATTAGAGGAGAACCGCTGTTACTGCTAAACGCTGGTAAATGCAAACAGCTACTCCTAGGAGGAACCCTTGCAGAAACGAGGATCATAATTGGCACTGTGCCCACGATCGTGGAGAAAACAGACGAGGTCAGTGATCTGCGTATCATCATGCGCGGCTCCTTGCAGTCAGCGAGGCAGTCCCCGATAGCCCGCAGGACTTCAAAAGCGCTGCTCTTGATGAGAATAACAGTATCTGCGAGGGACCCTGCAGTATTACTGTCCCTCTACAAGGCCCTGGTGCGATCACACCTAGAATACTACGTGCAGGCATGGACGCAGAAACCCCGGGCGACAGAAAGTCTCTAAAAGACGCTCAGAAAGGTTTTGCAAGGGTTATCCTGCCCTCATGTCGATGTCTCACTCGAGGCGCCTGAGAGAACTAAATTTGTTCTCTCTATCTCACAGACGAGGGCGAGGGGTGACCCTATAGAGGCTTTTGAGGTGCTGAAGGGACATTCGCATTGAACAAGCAGCCCCAGCCGAAGCTTTTTAAATTCCGCGCATTAAAGAGAGAAAGTGCTAACTTCTTTCATACAGTGGTCAATGCCTGGAATCAACTACAAATGCGATTATCTCGGTGTCCAGGCTTAACCAGTAGACGCAGTAACTTGGACTACCATACTGGCTCGAGCAGCAAATCCTGTGAACTATCCTGATCTTTTCAAAACAAGGCTTGATGTAGTGCGGGACATAACTTACCCCAAATCAGCCTAAAGATAGAATATTCAGTCCTTGGTGGTAGCTAGATCCTTGGCTTCCCCAAACCCTACCTCCGCTCATCTCCTTTATTATTAGCTGTTTCATCCCCATCTGTTTCAAATACCTTTCATCTTTACTGTCATTCCCGTAATAACTCACTAGTCTTCTCTTATCTTAACTTATGCACGTGGGCCTGTCGGTTATCTACTGTTTCCTGTGACTGATCAGCTGGTGCTGATTTCATCGATCGCGAACCGGATTGGCGTCCCTGCTCCGGGGCAATACACCTACACCTCCAAGTTCCGACCAATTCACTGTCGAAGCGTTACGAGACACATGTGGCTCATAGATGCAAGAACCTAGACTAACATACTGCCTCGATCCGCAAGTTCTGTTCCTCGAACGTAATAAGTTAAATTCCAATCAAACGATAATCCAAAGATCTAGTCTTGAAGTCTTGAAATAGTACTCGGGTTCGAGTCTTGCGCCTAATATTCTAGGTTCCGGATTTGTCTTCTTTTCTGCAGTTCGGTTCACGAACTGAAAGGGATATTGACGAAAATGGGAGCTGGCTCCAATATGGTGCCGGTGGGTTAAGGGTGCACGCATTGGAAAAAAAAAATCTAGAGGAAAGCGAGCATGTGAGAGGAGTAGTTACAGGGATAAGCGGGATAACGTGGGGGTGTCCTTCAGANCAATTGGGTCAGGGGGATGGTAAGCCCTAGCAGGGTTTTGAAAACCCTTTTGGAGGAGGTGTTCACAATCTCTAGTGGAAGTTTGTTCCATTCTGAGATGACTCTGTAGGTGAAGAAGTTGGAGCGGATGAAGGTTCTTGGCCGGCGTTTGAAGAGTTTTCTTGGGTGTTTCCTTAAGTGTTCCAGGCCAGAGCGTGTGAAGAAACGGTCAACTTGGCCTGACGTGAAGAGGTCATGTAGAAAGAAAAGATCTAGTGAGACCTTCACAGAAAATATACTGAATTCGACATGATCGTGACGCCATCAAAGTATATAATTACAGAGTTATTCCAAGAAATAGATCTTTCGTTGAATTTGTTATAATGCATCCATGGTAACGCTACCCTGATGATTAAGTAGCACGAGTTTGAAAACAACGCATGTTGTGAATCATACTCTGGATAATACTATATAGACCGAAATCAGTCCAACGCTCCCACTGGCATCTGTATCGGATAATGTTTGAAACGCGTTGTTTATAATGGGTTTTTTAAGTTTTCTGGCGAAATTATTTGGACTTTTCAAAAAAGAAGTTAAAATTTTAATAATAGGGCTTGATAACAGCGGTAAAACAACGATTCTCAATCACTTGCGGTCTAAAGACGATCCTGTTGATGTTGTTCCCACAATTGGATTTAATGTGGAAAAAATCTTTCGCAACTCACTGTCCATAACTTGTTTTGACATGTCCGGACATTGTCGTTACCGGAATTTGTGGGAGAAATATTACGCTGAGTGTGACGCTATCATATTCGTAGTGGATAGCTCCGATAAGCTGAGGTTAATAGTCGCACAGGATGAATTCGAACAAATGTTGTCCCATCAGTCCATAAAGAACAGAGATATACCATTGCTATTTTTGTCAAACAAAATGGATAAAAATGGATCATTATCTGCAAGTCAAGTGGCACTAATGCTGGGATTAGAGAAGATACGCACTAAACCGTGGAACATAATTTCATCAAACGCCATCTCAGGTGACGGAATCACCGAAGGTTTGAACTGGCTTTGTGAAAAATTGCTTAAGAAGCCCAATTGAAAACGCAACTACTAAAGATATCGGATTTATGCTCATATCGCCCCTCCGTGAGTCATTTGAACATTGAATTTGGAATACAAAATCAAGCAAAAATTTACATTTCTTTATTTGTGATGCCCAGGTCAGACAAGAACAGAACTAATAGTCACCTCGGTCGAGGTCACAATGAGGCAACCCAATGAATGTCTACATTTTATTCCAAGTTGTTGTATTTGCTAGTATGCACCCCGCCGTACGACGTCTAGCTCGCTCTATTTTCTACAAATAGAGAAGAGGTAAAATTTACTTCCCACCGAGACGGCGAAATTTCGGCTTTCCACATTTGTTCTGTAGAATTTTGTCCCTATTGGTCTAGATATGAAAACATCTCATGCCATCCTGCTTATAGGGGTTTCTCAAAGATCTTTCTGATAATGAAAGAATTAATGAAATTTCAAAAAGCTTTGGTTGGCCTCAACCTTTTGAAATTTGATTAATTCTTTCTTAAACTTAGTTCATCAATTTTCAAATGTGTTACCAAAGAAGTGTGCTTGATGATTTATTCTGGTTAGCGTTCCATGAGTTTGACTTTATGAATAGGTTATTGTTTTGAAAACAGTGCTTTTTGGTTACCAAGTAATTCGTCTACATCTCCATTCAATTTTTCACTCCTCTATAGTTATAGCTTGTTTCATCCTCTTTTTTAAAATATAACACTCTAACTATTTTTGTTGATCTTGACCGAATGTTCTCCAGGCAAGCTGCGTCCTTCTTGTAGCAGGGCAACAAAGCATGAACATTGTAATTCATATATGATATTTCAAGAGACTCACCAATAGGTATGAATACTCTTGCTTTGCTTCATGGAAGCGCAGACCTTGGCCAGAATGGTTTTCTTTTATGCCAGTGAGCTACTTTTGTATATTGGCGATTCCATGCTGTTATCAATAATTCCGGGTCTCTAGATTTTACACTAATACATAGTTCAACGTGTCTCTGCTCTCCTTTAGCTTCCAATTAACCCTAAGGCCTGAAACAGCAATCACATTTTATCAGTACGAAGTGGAAAATAACATGTTTGAAACTAATTTACCACATTTATGTTGTCTTGTTCCGGGTTTGGCCTTTCAACACACATAATCATCTTGTAAGCTGTTACTTTTTCTTAAATTTTGTTTCTAAACAGCGAAAATGTAAACAGGCCTAAAACTTCCAGCCACTGGGGTTTAAAGCGTACTCAAAGGTGGGTAAAACACCTCTGTTATCTTATTTTAATTTATCACTTCTGTGACCTAGTCCAGATTAAACAACAGAGTAGTCAGATAAAATTTTCTTTTTATGAACCCATGTCAAGCGGCATATAGTAGCACATGCCATAAGATATGGTTGTCAACATAAGTTTTGACTGCTTTTAATGCAGTTACAAACAATAACTGTTTGATTTACTGGTCTATATCATAGGAACCTAATCCAAATTCCTCCTAAGTCACATTGTGGTGATACTGAACTAAAACCGTCGGTAACAGTGATATTAAAATAAAAGTAACAATTGCGCATAAGATTCGAGGCCAAAAGCGGTTAACAAATAGATTGTACCATATGTTCTAGTTTTATAAAAAAGAATTGAAAAAAATATAGAATTAATTTGCATTTTCAATGAGCAAAATTACACCAAAAATCTTCCCTGACAAGCAAAATAGAAAAATCCATTACAATACAAGAATCAAAAAGTAGATCAGTTTGAAAGAACGACAGGTCAGTAGAAAGAAAGACACAATGAGGTTTTTCAAATACATCAGATCCGTTTTTGTTTAGATGAATAATTGGCGATAAATGTTAGTCAAAGGGTTTGTACTGCTTTCGGGAATCGGAAACAAATGACCTTCGGTATTGAATAACCATTTATCAATGTTATATAATGAAGCTGCAGTTTCATTAAAGAGTAAAAAAGAATATTTTAGTGTTTCTGATAACCAGAAAGATTCCATTTTATCCAGTCTAGGAGAATCTGTGTTCATCACATTTCTGATACCAGTGAATCCCGCGAGCGGTAGTCGAGAGTATTTTAGAAATGATGTGAATATTGTTTTACCCCATTCTTGATAAGCGGGATTTTTGGTTTGTTGATAAACGTAAAATAACGATTCCATGGTTTCAGGTCGCAGAAGATTATGACGATCCCCAGGCTGGAGAGCAGGGTTAGAGTGTAGAAAATTATGCATGATGAACAATAATTAAAAACAGTAAGGAACTCATACAAAGTTGATATGAAAAATTCATTCCGTCCTGAAATTTATTTGACTAATGGCTAATGAAAGTATAACAATATAAGATTCAACTGAAAATGCAGTGCTAGTCTTAAATACATCGAAATATGAGTTTGAGAGTGAGAGTTAGCTGAGTTGATTAAGAATTATAGAATAAAGAAAGTAAGACGTGGGCTACAAATACTTATTGACCTAATCAGGATACTTTTCGAGGAAGAGATGAGCTCATCTTGTGAGACAAGTAAATGATATACGATTTTGGTGTTGAAGTAAAGCACTGAGTCTTACGCACCCAGAGAGGTCGGCAGAAAACAATTCGATGACGGGCGGAAACAGTGCAAAATACCGGATTACTTGCTGAATTTTGAATCCTAAGTCATCAACTGAGAATCAGTCTTTAGAACAGAGGTAGGTCATCCTTTTAAACAAGAAAAAGCGGAAAGTGTTAAGACGCATTCATATTGAGAGATATTGATATGGGTTTTATTTATCAATGAGGCCAGTAGTCAAATAACAGCAGAAACGCACAACTGATACAGGGGCTGTCGCAAAGATAAGCAAATACCAACATGTGTCTCAATCCGAGAACAAAACACAGGATTAACACAATTTTATCAATATATAAAATGCTGCAAATGATGAAATCCATGCAGCATTTTAATTTACTTAGAAGCTTGAATTGATAAGTCGTGAGAAGACAACAGAAATTTGAATATTTCCAATTCTGTAGGCGAGACTAACAGTGAAAGATTTCTGAGCAGATGAATAATATTTCTTGGTCAACGACGTAAATAGTGATTTGATGTAAGATCAATTTTTAAAGATCACGCTGGTTGATGTCTTTTGAGGAAAAGATTATTTTGAGGAATATCTTGTGTCATCTCTAGTCTGGTTAAAATACAAAATATACGCTCTATAAACTGTTTGTATTGAATGGAAATTCTCTTTAGTTCTGATTTATATTAAGCTTTAGGTTTCTGGGGAGATAAAAATCTTATGGTGAATTGATCATCCGTAAGTTTTAACTAAAATTTCTGTTTCACTGTTTGAAGAACATAAGTGTTTCTTTAGTAATAATTTCTTCTGTGTAAAATATGTCGTGAAAAAGTACTGACACAATTTAAGATATCTACATCATTGCAGAGCAGTTAAAAACCTTAGCAAATTAAGCATACAATGAATTACCAGTAATGTTTGGATGTAATTCGAAATGTGAAGGTAAAGTCAGCTCATTAGGGATGTCTGACGGTTTCAAGAATATGAAGCAGTTACCCATGAGAAAGTCAGTTTACGCTCTTTGAGTAAGTTATAGAAAGTAACCAACGGCATTGTTCAGTGCAATGTGAGTATTTGCTGCTTTGTGAGTAAATAAATTATCCTGCAAACCAGTAATATGGGTAACCAACAAATACTAGTTATCCACATAATTCAAAATAGAACTAAGCGCAATATATAGAATAATTTAAGAAGCGTATATCGCTGAGTTGGATAATGCAATTAAAAAAATTCCATTGATATTTGCACTAGCAAATATTATTTCAGTTCAATTCAGTTCTTACAACCATTAACCATGCACTTTCGTGCGCCAGTTTTGGTTGCCCATTTGGATAAAACAGCAGAATGATGATTAGAATGTTGAGAGCGGAGTTGAGCGGAAGATAGCACATTTTCATAGACTGAAATTACAAGAATATTGAGTAGATGCATGAAAACCATTGTTTAGAGATCAAAAGTTATAGACAACGCCAGTAAGAAAAACAGCACCAGTACAATACTATTCTACGGGTTTTGGTTATTGAGCTTTGGCTAATAATAATCTGTACAACTACTAGAGAAACACAAGGAAAACAAAACGCCGTCAACTACTCAGTTTTGGTTTTTTTAGCAAAATTCTTATCAAAACTAACCTAATCACGTAAAATAGTTATTATATCCGAGCTCAAGGCCTAAATAGGAAAAGGTAGCGCAACCCAATGCGGATGAAAATTCACCGTTCAACTAGTTTTAAAGAAAAACTTCTCTGCAAATACATTGAGGATCAGGTTAGTTTACAGACGTATGCATCAAACATTAACTTCGATCAAAACAAGAGGTCTATTATGGATATATCATTAGACGGGAAGCATCCTGATTTTTGGAAACATCGGTAGACTACAGTAGATTGTCAGAAAATGGTACATTTATTAGTTTAACAACAATTGGTTGCTTAAAAGCGAGGTAGTCACAAGCAGTATCTAAAATTATGACTAATCGACGGCTGCACGTTGACCTAATGTGACGGCTTGCGCACCTCCTTGACCCTGCTGTAAATAATGGCTCCTCACACCCGCAGATCCAACCAGACCTGAGAGGTCAAACGGTAGAAACCAGCTGCTTAGGCACCTTCTGGCTGCTTCCATTGAATACCCACGCTCACCCTTCGAGAGGTCATTCCAGCAAATAAACACGGCGAGGGACAGCTTACCGATCAGAAATCCCTCACTAGGAGCAGGGTACCCGGGGCTACCTCTTGTAGGCTGGATACGTCTTTGCACTTCATTGGACAGCGACCACCCACCCAAGCTGGGTAGATACCAGCCAATAGAATGCTGTCCCGTCCACTTTTCGCTTGTCTCGTTGGGTGCATGAGACTAAGGGCCGATCCCGAAAAGCGGACCGTCAATGAACGCACCTGCGAACAANGAACAAAACAATGAACCAAAATTCAAAGGCCTTGCGTGACAGGTCTCTAGGAGCTCCCACACGGGTGCCTTG